TTATATGGAAAGAAAATGCCGGGCTCTTCAAGCTTATGGCCTGCTATCTGCGAGGAAGCTGTTCTCCGTGAATTCGAGTGTCAAGCGCTCTGCTCCTCACTTCTTTTCATGGCCACTTACCGTAATGCAGGCAACAAACACGCACTGTACCGTAACTGTCGGTGTAAACAGGACTATAATCACTAACAATTTCCAAAACGTCGTGTTTATTTTCAAACAAACAGGCACAGCAAACAAACTCATTATGTACAATTAAGTTAGTGGACATATTGTGTAATTTGGAAAATCACACATCAAAAACATCAGCGGGGCAAAGAGATGACGCCAGCCTTTCAAACTCTGTCACTGATACCTAAAAATGAGAGATAAGAACACACATAACAAAACTATTAGTACTCAATTTATTTATGTTACAAGTAGAAAAGTTCTATAACAAGTTACCAAATAAAACCATTAAAGCTACACTGAGACTAAATATACTGAACATCCTCATTAGGAATGATAGAAACATAGAATACAATAGAATAGCTACTTTATTGTTATTCAGATCATCAGTTAGTGCGCATTAGAATGCATTTTCAGTGCATTGACTCGCTTTTAATAATAATATAACAAATAAATCTTAAAAAAGGACCTAAGATGTATATACACACAAATGTAAGAATATGAGAAAAAAGGTCTATATACATGTAACAGCTAAAAAAAAGACTGTATGTGATCATCAAAATAAATGTACTGTACAAAGAATATTTTGTATATAAAAATCGAAATGACACAGTTTATACTTCCATACATGCTGAATATGGTTTTTTCATGGATCTTATTATGGACAAGTCATATCTATTCTGCCAATTATCTACTCTCTCTCTCTCTCTCTCTCTCTCTCTCTCTCTCTCTCTCTCACCTTCCACTCATCAACAGCAGCAGAAATTCGGTGTTCAGTCTGACTGATGCTCTCTCTTCCACCTTGAACCTTCTGTGCTAGAGCAGAATTCTCTGCTTGAATCTTTTTCAGCTCCCGTCGCATGTAGGCCTCCTGCTTTTGATAGTACGGCATCAAAAAGCTGCAAAAGTCCTGCTCAGGGACCCCGCTTGGTCGCCTAAGACAACATTTGAGATGATGAGGGATTAAAATGCTTTGATTGTTAAAAAGCTGAAATAACACAGTGGTGATATGCAGTATAGTAAAGGAAGGCAATATAACTATAATACAAGATGCAAAGTTACCTTTTCAATCTGATTCACTGACTAAATGAAATTCTTAAATATACAGTTAGTACATTTAATGAAAAAATATTTCCACTTAGTTACGTTTCACTATTTAATTAGATAAAAAATAAGAAAAGAGAGAATTTCAGCAGTTTGGTAAGAAAATGCACAAAGCATATATAATTAAATACTCAAGATTTCAGAAGTTCAAGTGTTTTCAAAGCGGTTTACTGACCATGCAGGGTCTGGACTGTCCTTGGTGGCTCTCTCTAGTTTGTCCAGCTCATTCAGTTTTAACTCTAGCTGGCCTTCTTCAATCAGTCTGTTGATATCTTCCTTCATGAGAAGGAAAACACAAACTTTTATGTAAACAAGTTTAAATAAAGACCAGTAGTAGATCAGTGAATATGGCATACAATGAGTATTTGGACAGCTATACAAATGTTGGTTTTGCCCAGGAAAGTTATTTGGTTTGTCCTGTTGAATGACAAAATGCATTTGTAATACTAATTTTACTGCTATCAGCAAGGAAATTGACAATAAATGTCATAAATGTAATAAATGTCATATATACAATGTATAAAAAAAAGGTGTACCACACATACAGCCTAAGCAATACACAATGCAAAGGAGGCAGAAGTCCTCCCATTTGTTTGTTTTTAAATACAGGGTTTTAATGTAAAATGCTACAGACCTGTATGGTGCTCCGCAGCTCCTCTATGAACTGCTTGTGAATGCTCTCCATTCTCTGAGGGTTCTTACTGTACAGTGGACGAAACATGCTGGCGAATCTGTTAAAACTGTGAGAGAACAGTGTGAACAAAGTAAAGTAAACTAGAAAGTGCATTTTCTGAAGAAACTGCAGTGTGAATGCTTGAATCTGAATGTATGGACTGAAATGAATTAATTGCTGAATTTTGAGTTAAAAATTTTGAATGAGATTAAAAAAAAACAAAAAAAAAAAACGAATTTAACCTGAAAACAAAGGTGCTGAACTGCTAAAAGCTGAAGGTTACACAGAAGAAGGAGTTGGAAAAAAACTGAAAATGTTTTAAATGTAAATTAGAAAACCCTAAGAAATGAGAAAAGAACATTTAGAGTCAGAAAACATCTGAATGAATATTAAAAGGTCATATTCTTTGAATCACTGAATGACTCAAATGTGATCCCTCCACTTTGATCCACACAGTTTAAAAAGTTTAAATGCCTGAGCTTTGAAAGATACGGTGTTGGAAAGAGAACAATAATGGCGACAATTTGAGGGTAAAATGATGGCTGTAACACTGTGGACACAGCAGCAGTTGAAAGAGAAGTGTTTAAGATGAATCTTGGTACAGTGGCAGGCAGAGCTCGTTAAGCAGGCAGGTGTGAGCCTGGTTGCTATAGTGACCGCACCCAATGGCTCCATACACACGTACACAGACATGCGCCTCACTTTTGCTGCTTAAAATGAACAGAAAAGTCAGGCCGAAACAAATCGTTCCCAAATGAAAAGTAAAAGTCGTATTGACAAAATTCTTTCACCGTGAGCGACAGCAGCTTCTAGTCTACTGAATTCTCAGTTTTCATGCCTGTGGAGTTTATTATATGGACGTGGTGACAGTGGAAAGACACCATGCTCTTCTGATTTTCAAACGAACCTTCTGAGCCATTTTAACATTAGAGTCTATGGAAGAGTTGGAGGGAGGAGGCTGTGCATTGGTGACATTTATGAAAGAACCATAACACCTAGTACAATAGTAAACACATTGGATGAAAGAGGACAGCCATGGCTACGTTTTGAGGGTAAAATCATACCTGTAGAGCAAACGCTGCGGACACAGCAGCAGTTTTAAAAAAGATTTTAAGATTAATTTTTTTGCTCCTCTCACTCTAGCAGTTGAGCTGCCTCACTCTAGCCCCAACATTCCGTCCCATACACACCCATTATAAACTCTGAAACGGGTGAAAAAACATCATGAAACTTAAACTGGAACTGAAGAAAAAGTATAATAGATATTGAAAAGATAAATACAAGTTGAATAGTTGAATGTCTTGTCTTCGTTTTAAAGTTTGAATGGTGGCTCTATGTCAATGTATGTGGAAGTAGTAAGAGTTTAAAAATGAGTAAGTTGAATGAGAATTTGAAGGGTCTCCCCATTGAAATACATTATAAATTTTTGTTGAAAAAAGTTGAATAAAATTAAAAATATAAATGTTAAAAATGAGAAAAATAGAAGCAATGTTGTCCAAAAGAATAGGAATCTAACGGTGTTTGAATGGTTTTTCTAAGTTGAACGGTTTTGAAGGAGTAGGCTTTCAAAAAACGTACGGAATAGATAATAATAAAATAGAATAATAATAATAAAGATTCGAATAACAATACTGTGAATGCTTTTCAAGCATTCACACTAACTATGACCTTTCCTGAAAATGATAGCTAAGGAATAAGTAGATCATTAACATTATAAGACACTACTGCTATGTTAAAAGTACGTTTGGATAGGCCTTCTTTTTTGGAGGACAGGAGGGCAGTGGAATTGTTTGGTTTTCATCTGTAAGTAAAATAATATACATTTAAAAAATAATCATAACAGAGTGCCTGTCTGAAGTGTTAGATTTGTCCAAACCAGAGTTCTGAATAATCGTATTATAGATTTCTTGCTAACAAACACCACAGGATCATTCCTTTGTCAATTTATCTCACTATCTCACATGTGCAAGGACAAAAAATCTGTATGGGAAAGATACACTTCTTAAAAAGAAATATGTCAAATTCAAGTCCAATATTTATCATAAGTGATCATAAGTAGTCTTCTAGATAACAAAGAATGTAAAATGAAAAAAAAATGCTAGGGCTCTTAAACAGCCCAACCTCCATCCCTTATTTTTATTTATTTGTTAAAAATAATAATAATAATAACCCTATGATTTTGCACAATTCCCAACAAGCTTCCCTCTGTTTTACCCCAGAAACGACAACAGACTACACAAACTGCAAGTAAGCTGTTCATCGAATGTTTTTTTAAAGCTGAGGTTCATTAAATATGAAGCTTTTAACACACTTAGTTGTTAGTTTTACTTTTTAAGTCCCTTATTGTATTACTTTTTAAAATTAATCTCGCTATTCCAGGGTTTTTAAGCTATTAAGTTTTATGTTGTTTTTAATGCCTCGGTGTTGTGACACAATGAGTCCCCTAAATTTAGGGCTAGATTGAGGAAATATCTTATATATACTCTTGGGGTATTCTAGGTTATTATACTGGAGTTTTATTGGCTCACTTGAGATAAATTAAGACTGTATGTGTTCTAATAATGAGATCTTCACACTTGGTTTACTGTTTATTTAATGACCACCACCTTTGTAACTATTTGATGAGAAACGTTCAAACCAGCTCTCACCCCTGTTTATATCCTTCGTGCAGAGGTAATATCATGACATACGTGTAGTTCACCGTAAAAACAAGGTAATAAACACAACACCCAACACGTTACCTGACATCTTCGATAAACCTGTTCAGGCTCTTCTGCATGACTTTGTCAAAAAGCTTCATCCTCTTGTACCGAGCCTCCGCCTCCGCTGTCGGTTTATTCGGCATCTGTGAGGAAGCTTCTCCTGTCGCTTCATTAGCCTGGCTTTCAGCTGAATCTTCCGCACCAGTTTTAACTGCACTGTGCACTTCTGTTGCTGACTTACTTTCCTCCATTTTTCAGCTGCCTCTGTTTATGTTTTGCAGCGCCCGCCAAATCTACGGCGAGCCGCCGGACCCAGAAACGACGCCGACGCCCCCATTTGGCACATGCGCACTGTAACACCGTAGCTCAACAGCTCCAGCTGTCATTTCTCCTCCAACACTCTGTCGCGGTGGTTCGTCTTCTCCGTCAGCATGGGTTTACTCACGGGACTCTGCGCTTTCTTGTATCACTTACCTCAGATTTACAAATGGCTGCTCAAGCCGTACTATATCACGTCCTTCCTCTTGACCATCTCATTCGTGGTGGTGCGAAAGACTCCAGGTCTTTGCGAGCACCTGGTGACCCAGCGCGAGGACGGCAACTCCTGTGACTTTGACTGGGTGAGCATAGTGGTGGTGGGGGAGCTGCGGTTACCTTTGGTGGGGCTAATTAAGCCTCTGAAATATGAAATAAATAGAAGTAGTAAATAAACTTGACACAAAGTTGTTGTTTGTTTGTTTTAATGATTTTGCTCCTTTTGTTTTACAGAGAGAGCTGGAGATCCTCATGTTTCTCAGTGCAATAGTGATGATGAAGAACAGGAGAGCTAGTGAGTAGTCTACCCCCCCCCACACACACACACACACACACACACACAGTCTTATGTGTAAACCTACTGATGAAAGTGTGTTTACACTATAAACTGTCACATCACAAAAAGTGGCCCAATCAACCATGTGGCCAATGATCCAAACCACTCAGCGAATCATAGGAAGCACCGGGATATGTTGTGATTTATTTGTTGACCTTAACTTTTTAGATAAAGTCAGGAAGGTCGCTTTGTTTGTGTCTTTATTACATGCTGCTGTTAATCTTTAACCACACAGTCTGATGTTTAACTGTTTCCACTCCTTGATCTGATAAGCCATTTGAGAGGAACCCCCACTCTACTGAGAACACACATCTGTAAAGTGATTCACTGTAAACTTTGGGTTTGTTGTGTAAACATTAAGGGAGTGGGAGGGGTTCACTTACACACTGCAAGGTCAACAGTATGAAGGTGTTCCTCCACTGTTCATTCATTGTTCCCTGCTCTTTGTTTCCTCAGTCACAGTGGAGCAGCACATTGGGAACTTGTTAATGTTCAGCAAAGTGGCCAACTGTATCCTCTTCTTCAGGATGGACATTCGGTTTGGCATCCTCTACCTTGCACTGTGCCTCGGTCAGTGGTCTGTCACAACCACCTTTAAAATTGTGTAGTGTAAACTGTGTCTACCAGTGGTTCTTAATTAGAAAAGCACAACTCTACTGCATTAACCATCCCCAGTCTTAAGGCAGTGATGCTGCACTCATTCATTAGTTAAAGAGATATGTTAATGAGAATAGGAGTGGTCTTTTGTTTTGTTTTGACATGCCAAATTAATCAGCCCTCTGTATTCACCTTGTACTGATATCTAAAGCTCATCAAGGGGTTTCTCCTTGAGCCAGTGTTTCTGAGATATAATGTGCAACAGCAATTAGTTCCCATTTCTGTTACTGCTGTAAAAAATGATCATTAATCTAATGTACTTGAAGCTCATTCCACTGATAAAAGTCCTCACACTTTTGACAAATTTTTCTTCATCTGAATACCATCCAGTGGGAAGTCGGTGTTATCACTGTACAGAAAAGTGACATCACCAGTTTTCTTGTATATATTTAGATTATTTTCCAATGCAGGTGAGGTGCAATGAGTATTTTTACTCTGAAGTCCTGAATTTTTCATCTGGCAAAGATTTATGTATTTATTTTAAGAAAAAGCTTCACATCTTCTCTGTGAAGTGTTCTCCTGGTAAAGCAGCAATCTGAGCCCTGTTTAGAAACTTCTCTGAGCTTTCTGCAATCAGAACTTTTTATTAACTGGCCTACAGGTGGTGCCATTGTGTAATTTATAAAAACGGTGTCCTTTACAACCCCCCACCCCCCAACAAAAGAAGAATTCATTCAAAGTCAAATTTATCTTTATAGCACATTTAAAAACAGCTGTTGACCAAAGTGTACACCTAAAATAATCAAATTACATAAAAATATAGGACAAGATGGCAGAATTTAAGAAAGGAAACATAAAATGAGAAAACTTAAATAAGAAAAAACACAAATGAAAATGTTTTTTACCAAAGTATCATAGGTGAACAGAGACTACCACTGGATAAACTGTAAAATGTACATTGTTTTTATCCTTTTTAAGCTCATCAGTCTGTTTATCTGTGTATTTTCTGCAGCATTTGTCATGACCTGTCAGCCACCTCTCTACATGGGCCCAGAGTACATCAAGTACTTCAGTGACAAGACCATCGACGTGAGTCCTGTCTAATATCAGCTGACCATTTGCATGTATAGTAGTGCCACTGGTCTTTGTAATGATAGATAAAAACAAAAGAGGTGGGAATTACTTACAGTTACATCAGTTGGGAGTGTTATTTTATTTGAAAGTTCATGGAGTGATTGAGTCTATTAATCATTTTGTTTGAAATTAGAGCAGTTTCCATCAAACACTGAAATCCAGTTATATGATATTATATTAATTGTATGTCTGACATTTAAAAATTCCTAAACTAAAATACCAAAAAAAAGTGAACTCTCTAACTGATCATGCCCTGCTCAGAGGGGTGGGTTGGTTTGAGTGTAACTTTGTGTTCTTCACTCATTAGGAGGAGCTGCAGCGGGACAGTCGTGTCACATGGCTCGTTGAATTCTACGCCAACTGGTCCTCTGATTGTCAGTCGTTTGCTCCCATCTTTGCAAACCTTTCTCTCAAGTAAGAAATCACACTCTTTACTTCAGTCGCATTCAGGTTTTCTAAGGTTAAATATTTCAGAACATAATTTTTTTTAAATCACCTGGTTCCTACCAAGTTTAAAATGATTTGAATACAGTTTCAAATAGACACGTGTCATAATACACCATGTCATTAAATACTTAATAAAAATTGTGCAGGAATTTTGCTTGGACAACTGTTCTTCACAGCATTGCTTCAGTTCATTGAGGTTTGCAGTGAGGCAGTTATGCACAGCATTGAGGTCTGGATTCGACTGGGCCATCGGAACACTTTGAACACTTTGCAGTCATTCTGTTGTAGATTTGCTGCTGTGCTTGGGATCATTGTCCCGCTACATGACCCTTTTTTTGACCAAGTTTAGTTTTTTGGAGAGATGGGTATACATGTGGAAGAGTTCATGGTCCACTCAGTGGAGTATCCAAGTCCTGTGGCTGCAAAACAAGCCCAAATCATCAGCACTCCACTACCGTGCTTGACAGTTGCTTTGAGGTGTTTGTGGCTTATAAGCTTTGTTTGGGTGTCTCCAGACATGGCGATGCATGTTATGGCCTGTTACGACCCCCACTGCTAGGGGACAGGGAGGAATAACATACATAAGCATACATACACAGGAAACTAAATGAAGAAAAGGTTTAATTGCAGAAATTCAAACTGAAAACCGACAGGGCTGCATTCTGCAGGCCACTGTGCAACCAGTTAACATATAATACGATAACACAGACGAGGGTAAAAGTTAAGGTTTAACTAAGGCAAATTCGCATCACAAAACTCCAATCAAACTAAGTTCACCCATATACCAAGGTTAACAAGCAAAGTTCAACACTATGAACAGGGTTTAACAAAAAGTTCAAAGAGGGACGCACGAAGGGCAAACTGCATGTTCAGTCCTAAGCAGCAGCCCCTGAGTGAAGACTTTCCTTAGCAGGAAAGACAGGTGTGTGTTGATACGCACCTGAACGCTTCGGACCAGAAAAGCTGCCAAAACATCTGTTTTTATGGATCTGCTACCCAACTGCTACTTACCCTCTTAATTTCTTATGGAAGCTGTAAGGATGTGCTTAGTTTATCACACACTGCTTCTGCATTTTTGTTAATGACACAGTAAAACACGTCATGTGGTATTGTTCATATGAGGTAACATTTACCTAAATTTTAAGACTTGCTAAGGACCAAATTATTTTTTAATTATGTGCTGATATAGAAAAGAAGAAGAGTCTAGATGATATTTAATCTCAGTCAGGGTTTCTTATTTGAAAACAGAAATGACACTAAGTAAAAAAAAAAAAAGATCCAAGATGTTAGTTAACATTTTGAAACAATACCCTTGCAGATACATTATGCCTGATTGTTGCTGGTGTCCCTGTTGTAGAGTCACTTCAAATGCAAGATAATGTAATTTACTTCATGTTAGAGAAACAGCTGTATATTTGTCTCAAATGTCTCATGTGTCGTCCTTTATATTCTGCAGCTACAACTGTGCTGGACTCCGCTTTGGGAAGATAGACATTGGTCGCTATGAAGAGGTTTCAAAGAAGTCAGTTTTGGGGGGCTTTTTTGCCTTTAATAAATGGTCTTTAATTATCCAGTATTGCTCGATTCTTTCTAGAATTCTATTGACTGGTATTAACTGTCTTTCTGAACAGGTACAGGGTTAGTACTTCTCCTCTGGCCAAGCAGCTACCTTCAGTTCTGCTTTTTCAAGGAGGACGGGAAGTTATGAGGCGTCCAATGGTGGACAGCAAAGGTAGAGCTGTATCTTGGACCATGAACGAGGTACGTCTATTCAGATTGTAAGAAAACACATGAAATAAGACCTGAGTAGATGCTGCTTGCTTACACATGCAGACAGTATAAATACATTTTATATCACCCACAGGAGAACATCATCCGAGAGTTTAACCTCAACGAGCTCTTCCAGAAATCCAAGAAGCTGAACAAAAGCCATGGTTCGAAGGAAGAGGAGCAGAATGGCTCTCAGCCACAAGAGGGTGGCGAGGAGCTTCCTCCTGACACCGACAATATGGAGCAGCCAAAAGAGAGCAAGAAAGACCAGTGAAGAGGAGAGGGGCTGCATCAAGTCTTTGCTTTGCTCTTAACATTTCTGTTACTTTCCTTATTGTAACAGCCAAATATTTTTAGTTTAAGGGAAGAAAACAGGCTCCACTACCACAAGAAATAGTCTCTACACTGTAAGTCTTTATTGTGGGGAAATACCCATAACCGCTGATCTTATTTAAACGATCTGTGTGTGATGCAGATTGAAGCAGCAGCGATTTTGGAGCATTTTATTACACTAAGTTATTGACGAACAAAAAAAGATTTTTGCTAATTTTTTTTCCACTTTTGTCAACGTGTCATTGGTTCTTTTGCTGCCTGTATTTATTGACTGGTTTGTGTACTTTTGTGTCAGAAAAGCCAAAGTAAAAGCTTGAGGTGAAACAAAGTAAGACTGCGTGCAATGATAAAATCCAAGACACATTCTCTTTCAACAGTTTGACCTTTTTATTCTGACACGACATCTTTTTAAAAATTCTTTATAAGGCCATTTTGGAATTTTTTTTTTTTTAAATGTTCTCATTACAGATAGTTGAAACTCGTTCCATTCATCACAGCCAACAACAGCAATATTTTATCTCACATAGAAGTTACTTGCTATACTCACATAGGTTCAGGTTGTTCAGTGGCCACCATCCCTTGGCCAGAGCGGGAAGAAAAAAAAAAAGTCAACACAGGTTCTCTTTATTTCTCTGTACGACAGCTGCTTTGTGCCATTTGTGATTTTTTTTTTTTTCTGGATGCCACTCGCACAGAAACCGGATGGGCGTTTGACAATAATCTCACAAGAATGCACGCCAGAGAAGCAGCAATGAACCGAAAAATAAAGTTTTTTTTAAAGAGTCACATGCACACTGAAGACACAGCCTGGTAGGGTATAAAACTCGTACTGAACAGTGATATTTGTGTGCTTCAAGCATGTACTTTCTCCCCCAAAATGATGTGCCATGTTCCCTTTAACATTCTGCAAACACTGCTGTGGGCCTTTACAGAAAAAAAATAAATAAATAAGCTTTCTGTAATGCCCAATCATGAAAAACAAACACTCCTCTTCTGATTAATCCCTTTCTTAACATGGCTGTGGGTATCAAAGTGAGAAGTGTTCCTTTTAACAAGAAAAAAAAAAAGCAAATGAAGCAAGAAATTCTAAATACTTAAAGAAAAGTGTAAAAAAAATTAAAAATAATTAGAAAAAATAAAAACATGCTTCACTACGAATGGTCTCAAGGCAAGGAAAATAAACAAACCCCAACGAACACACTGGCCAATTTCAAACCAGTCCCTCTTACATATTCAGTGGCATGGCATTAAAATTTAATGAAATATAACCATAGTTTCTATTTTCTCTTTAAAAAAAACAAACAAACTATCTGGGACTGGTTTGAAATCATGTACAGAACTACAAAGTTTCTTTCCACTGGTGAAATAAATAAGCCCTTCCCCGCTGCTCCTATTTGGCTGGCCATCTGTTAAAGGTATAAGGTTGCTAGCATCTTGACTGACTGACAGACAAAAACCTCTCAGAAAGAAAAGAGAATAAAAACACCAAAAAGACATACGATGATCTTAAAGCTACAAACAGATTTTGCATAATGTCTCTAGCATAAACATTACAAGCGTACATTCCACAAAGATGCTTGTGCTGCGATTGTGAGAATTAACATTTCTTTGTGGCTTTTAAGAAAGAATAGAAAAAAAACAACCTGTAATTTTTTGCCACTTCAGGTGTCCACCAAAGGATCATCATCATCTTCTTCTTTGGACAGTGAAAACTCCAGCAAAAACTTTGAATAGCTGATGCAGCCATCATTTCTCAACAGGCAACTGATTTTTAAATCGCTTTCATGAATAATTACATACAGTATAACTGCCACCGTTATCAATAGTCATCTCCAATACCTGACAGTTTCACCCAATAATAATCTGTATACATTTATATAAAACAATATTTAAAAAAAGACTTATAAAACTAAAATGATACTGTCTTTATAGATTGGACTCTTTACTCCATGATTCTTATCAATATACAGATTGTGTGGTCCGTTCAGACATTATTATTGGTCAACAGTCCGAAATCCTCCCTCTTAAAGTTTTACATCCACTGGATAAAGGCCATCCTTTCTATGAGTGTCAGACACTGTTGTCAGTACTCTGTGCTAATGTACCAAAGTAAAATGGCAAATCATTGACTAGCTATGCGTGCTCTATAGACAAATCTGTACCCAGCTGTGATGATACAGTCGCATCAGTCTATGGCTCACAAAGTGGCTAATTGTTTGTTCAAATCTGAAAGGCTGGCAGATAAGACTGGCCAGTGGCATTACAAAGATAATAAAGTGAGTACCAAACAGGCCTGCTCCCTTAGTCCAGCGCAGCAGGAGCCTGTAGTCATGAATAATATCCAGCTCGGGTAAAAGACAAGTGGAAGTTGTCCAGTGACTTTCTCCCATCCTTGTGGCAGATCATGTGGGATGTTTGTCACTTAAACTGATATCTCATATGTGGTCCCTCCGACACCGGTTACCTTCTTCACCCCTCCCCCTGGTTTGGATGTGGTGTGATTAGCCAAGACTGGGCGAGAGGTGGATCTGATTGGACAGCCATCGGGAGGGGAGGAGCCACATCAGGGTAGAGGAGAGAGAAGAGAGGGAGATGCAGGTGAGTGGTTCTTTTTCGAAAATAAAGCACTAACCGCAGAAGTTTCTTTACACGAGATCTTGTAAGGCATTCGGTAACTACACTGAGTGAGGACAGGGGAAAGACACAAAAGGCTACAAGGCAAAACACAGCAGCATGGGCAGACATGTCACATTCCAACAACTAAACCAAAAAGACTTACACAGACACAGTTTACTATTCAAGCACTAAACAGGTAAAGACTGTAAGTAAAACATGAAGGAGGAAAAGGAAGACTCACACAGATCATGGAAGAAGAGGAGGGCTGACACAAACCAGGAAGGAAGAGTAGTAGGAAAAGGAGGAAGAAGAGTAGCAGGCTGACGGATCTGGCGACGGATCACTACTCACTGTGTAGCCTGTTGCCCTCCTCCCCCTCCCAGCACAGCGCCTCCTCCTGCAAGTCGAGGCTTGTGCTGAGGCCCTGCCTCCATATTGTAAGGCAGGGACTTGCCTAGGGAGAGGCCACGAGGAGGCGGGGAGACAGGGGGCTCGAGCAATCGAGCCCCAGGAGAAGAGGATGAGGAGGAAGGGTTACGAGGGGGACGGGAAGAGAAGTCCTGGTTATGCTGAAGCAGGTGGTGGGTCTCAAGTGGCCCAGCGGAGGAGGGAAGGGGAGGGCTGACAGCACGCAGGTAGGCCTTGTGGGGGGAGGAGAAAGTGGCAGAGCCCTGGAGCAGCTGCCCCTCCCTCTGCTGGGCAATCTGAGCTGAGAGAAAGGGCGACGTGTAGCCCTGCAGCGGAGTACTGGGTGACACCACCTCAGTCTGGCCCCTTACAGCTGAAGAGAGAAATGGAGCATGAGGCTTCTGTGGTGACAGCTCGTGGGCGGCTGACTCGAACTCTGGGCTCTCGGATGGTGTCAGCAGGCTATCATAGGACAGGCTGCCATTCCGAGGTGTCTGATTGGCCAGGCTTTTGTAGCTGGTGTCTGTGGTGCCCTCTGAATGGAGCGTGGCCAGCGGGTTATGTGCAGTGTGTGCTGAGCGCAGGCTGGAGGAGTGTGAGCCACCAGTGGACAGAACCAGAGAGGATGGGTAGGAGGTGTAGGAGCGCCCAGTCAGGGAGTAACCTGACATGCCCCCTAACACCCCACCAGCAGTCCCGCCAGGGCCTCCGGGGCCCTCGCCCCTTTCCCCTCCCCCTCTGCGCACCCCTACACCTCCCCCCACCACTGTGGTTCCATCCAAGCTGCTCGGCTCAGAGCGGTAGCTAGGTTGGCGGCTGGACTGCAGGATGGAAGGAGATGGAGAGTCAAGACTCTCTCCACGGATCATCTGAAGAGGAGAGAGGAGGAGAAACAGACCAAAGGGGAGAGGGTAAGGAAAAGTGTGATGAAGATGAAAGCAGGAGTAAAGAGGGGAGGGAGAAAGATGAAAATTACCACCTTGCCGTGGGAATAGAAAGCAGAGAACAGAAAGCAATTTTGTAGAGATTTTTAAACAGGGAAAAAAATAAATAAAAGAGTGGTGGGGAGAACTGGATGCTTGACCGGTGTGCTACTCAATCATCACACTACTGGATTGGGAATATTGACTGGTTTCAACAAGCACTAACACTGCATGTCAAAGACTGTGTGTGTCAACAAATGAATGGAAATACAAAAACATATGGAACATGAACTATACATTGCAGTCAATGCAGTCTCAGGGGGAAAGGACAGATCCATTCAAACACACAGAGACAGCCAAAGGGATACAGGTATACACACGTACTGAGACTTACTGATCAACCGATGGCCACTGAATGAACAATTTAAAGTAAAAAAAAAAAAAAAGGGCATGTATTAACCATTAAGGATTTAGAGGGGCAGGGCATATAAGCCACCAACGCTTCCCCTGTTTCACGCATTAAGCTTGAGCACATCTGTGAGTTTTTCCTCATTAAGCTATGTATAAATCAACAAGGCTGTGTGCAGATGGTATTTTGATTTGATTATGTCTGCGTTTTAAATGTAATTAACTTCAGCTATTTTTTCCTTTTCGTACATGGTTTACACAGAGCACTTTAAGGTGTCTGTAAACTAAGATCTACCTTGTTGGGATGTGTGAGTGCAGTGTGGTTTCTCCCTGGGCTGTTGAAGGTTGGCCGGTACTTATACATTGATGGCGTAGGTGGTGCTTCAGTCAGCAAGCTGCTCTCTGAGTGACAAGAAACCAAAAGTGACATTTGAACAAGGTCTGTTTATGATTAGAAAACAAATATTCATCTATTTACACAAAAGCTAAGAACTCTCTCTGCATATTCTGTCATACAAAGTGGAATCCTAGGTTCAATTATGCATTTGTATGTGCATCTCACCCTCTGTGTCAGCACGGGGAAGGCCAGGGTAACGAAGCTCTGGCTTTGGAGGAGGTGGAGCCTCTGCATCCGCTGACTGGCTCTCCATCTGATCTAGACTACTCTTGGACTGGAAAGGATGAGGACCGAAAACAAAAAGCCATTCAGTGAAATCAGACTGCCTGGAACAGAGGGCTACATCTGTAACGTTTTCCAGGTTTTGATATCTGATTAATGTTGCAGACAATTTCAGGATCCTGTGGGAGTGAATTATCTTTTCTCATAACCAAACATTAAAAAAAGAAAAGAAAGTTTGACACCCAATGACTGAGGGGAAAATGTAAAATAATTAATTAATTTTTAAAAAAAAGCATCTTCCATCACACAAACTCTTGAATGTTCTGAGTTTTGCCCTCCATGCTATTGAGTCAC